AGAAAAGAAGATTACCTAGAAGGGTTCACTTACGTAGGGCATCCAGGAACTGGTAAGAAGAATGTCAAGCTCAGCCAAACGCTTTCCAACAGCAGAATGAAGAGCCACTGTGGCCAGCTGGATGTGAGGTCTCGAAGAGAAGAGCAGCTTCTCTCCTAAGTGAGGAGTAGAAAGAAACAGACATGAACTAAATGCAAACAGAACGGGAGATAATACACAGTGTATGTATTTGGAAAATTCCCTGGAATGCTTTTCTTAGCCCTTACAGTAATAAAATACATATATATACACACACATACATATAAACAGAAACAAAAACTCAAATCCATTGTCATCGAATCAATTCCAACTCATAGCAACCCTGTAGGACAGAGCAGAAACTGCCCCACAGGGTTTCCAAGGAGCGGTTGGTAGATTCGAACTGCCCACATTTTGGTCAGCAGCTGAGCTCTTATCCACTGTGCCACCAGGGCTCCATATATATACATATATATATACACATATACATATATATATACACACACACATATATATATATGATATATTATGTTGTTTAGATGCTCCCTCTCTGTGAAATATCACAGTAAAAACATTGGTAACGAAATCAGTGGACAATTGTACTCCTAGGTATGTACTCAGAATTAAAAACATATTTGTTCACAAAACCTTGTACATGAATGTTCATAGCAGCATTACTAACAACAGACAAAAATACTAACAATTCAACTGTTCTGATGAATGGAGAAATACAACGTGGTATATCCATACGATGGAATATTACCATCAATGAAAAGGAATGAAGTACTGATACATGCCACAACGCAGATGAACTGTGAAAACACTGTGCTAAATGAAAGAAGCCAGACACAAAGGGCCACATAATGTATGATTTCATTTATATGAAATGTTCAAAATAGCCAAATCTATAGAAACAGAAAGTAGATTAATGGTTGCCTGGGACTGGGGGTAGGAAGGGGTGAGGGACAATGGGAAGTAACTGCTAATGGGAATGGGTTTCTTTTTGGGGTGATGAAAATGTTCTGGAATTAGAAACTAGTGGTAGTTCCACAGCTCTGTGAATATAGTAAATACCACTGAATTGTATACTTTTAAAGGTGGGTTTTATGATACGCGAATTATATCTCAATAAGACTTATATAGAAAGAAATTTTTAATTAAAAAAATTAATTAAACTTCTGCAACTATTCTAGTTGAAGGAAGAAGGAGTGTCAACTATTCTTGGTATTCTACCTTCCGCCTCCCACCCAGCCCCTCATCCAGTCATGGCACCCCAGAAGAGTCTCCACAGAACCCTTAGGTCCCACAGAAGGACTGAAAACTACCGCTGTGACATTCATGGTTAACCAAGCTCCCTGTGCACTTGTACATGTCTGGTCTCCACTTCACCTCAAGGAAAATCTATAGCCAGAGGACACTGATCCATTGACAAGGAGGGGCAGAGGAGGTAAAGTAACAGTGATTAAAAAGGACTCCAAAATGCTTACAACTAAGCAATCATCGGAGGAAGAACCAAGAGAATTTGAGATTCAGTGAAAAATCTGCTAGCTGCATAAACTGAAAATAGCTAGAAAACACATAAAGCTTTATTAATTTATTAAGTAGGACCTCAAATGGAAGAATGTAAACACTTCCACTTGATTTTTTTTACCTCTAGTGGAAGAAAAAAATGGCTGTCACCTGGGTAAGCTCAAGTCTGATATTTATAGTAAGATAGGAAGTAATCACAAGAGGTGAGATTTTCACATACTATTATAAAGAAGAAATAAGAACTAGCCAAGTACAGTATTGTCATCCTCCCATAGCCACCCATGGCATTTTTCTCTAAGTTGAATTCTTACAGCATTTATATACATACCAAAATGCTTTGTGAGTTTTTTTTTTTTTTAACACATATTGTTACCATATGGGAATTGAAAAAATGTCAATTATGCCCCCAAAAGACTGAATTACCACTAGAAGATGGTGATATCACGCAATGTCATCAAGAACATTTGATTAACAGAGTTAATTCGATTAACAGAGTTAAAGGATCTCCTGAAGTAAAGCATTACACTCATAACTAATAAAGTTCTCAAAACTATACACTAAATTCCAAAGTGACTTCTTCCCCTCTCTTTTTGTAAAAGCAGGGTTTCTCACCGAGGCACAGTTTTCAGGCACAGGTTTCGCAAAGAGGAGCTCTAACACTGCAACCACAAAGTAAGTCACTCCCAACCGCTGCAGCACACCAGGAATTCGCACTTTATCCCAAGACACTGCAGAAAACACAGATTAGGTCAAGTGTTAGCCAACATTTCTCATCTCACCCCACGGCAACATTGTTTTTTTCTTAAGGGGGAAAACATACCTATATTATATCTAAGCAATTCTTTTTTAAGCCTTTAGAGACAGAAATATAATATGGTCAAGAGACATGGCTCAAACTCAAGTTCCAAGGACAGACCAATCCCACTCAGTAGGACGGTTAGGGACATAGCTGAAATTCATGACAGGAAGCTGGAATGCTTGGGAGACTGAGCTAAGAATAAAAATGTATTACTTGGGTGTGAGGATAAAGCCAGGACTACCTGTGGCCCTAAAGTTCATTTCCTGGCTCTGTCCCAGAGGAATCTAGATTCAACTCTCATGTGCACCAGGAGATTATAGACCCACAACAGGCCACCAACTGCCTCTCTCTGTCCAACAGGCTACATGACTGTATCACTGGCAGAGAGTAACCCTACAATGAGCTAATCCTCCAGGAGCAATGGCTCATTTTTTGGAGAACCATCAGAGCAACTTTTATGTGACAACTTCCCTTATAGTTCCAACTGGAAGTGACCTCTACTCCTGCTAATGCCTATAGTCTTGCAGTAAAAGTGCTCGTTGCCTGAGTGATTTGGCTAATGACTGCCACCTTCCCCGATTCTGACGCTGGTACGAAGCTCAGGGCCCACATCCTCCCCTCAGCTTGCCTGACTCACTAAACCAAAACCCACTGCCATCAAGTTGATTCCGACTCATAGCAACCCTGTAGGATGGAGTAGAACTATCCCATAGGGTTTCCAAGGTTGTAATC